TTACATGTAGACAACTGAAACTGGAAAAAATACTTCATTATATAGGAGGAAGAACTTTGAAAATAATACTGATACTGTCACATTATTTTACCGTAACCTTAAAAAAAAGTGTAATAGCTACTCATAAGCTGTAAAATCAAACTTGCAATATTTCCTTTGCTACACTTTTAAAATTAAATTGTGTGTTCACTGATCACTATTATAAGATTGGTCATGAAAATTGGGCATCTATCGTTTATCTTCAGAAAAAGACCGGCAAGGATCTGTCAACACCATTTTCTCCTCCTATGCTCCCCGTCCCCTCAAAATAAGGAATTACAAGAACAAATTAAATGGAAAGGCAACACACTGTAAACAGATAGAAGGGAAAAAACTTTATAATTAACCTATAAAATTCACTGCTACAGTATATAATTGGTAAATGTTGAAGCATTGTAAGATTTAATTAAAAATATGAATAAGTATAATATGTGCTGTTACGCTAGCTAGCATAAAATTAAGAATAAGGACTGGAAGTCCTTATTCTTCCAGGTATAAACTGAACACTATCTGAGGTCGAATGCAAACAACCTTCAAATTCAGTTGCAGTTTTGGTGACATGGGCAGAATGTGTACTAGTTGGATGATATTTTGCTCTGGTATAGCAATGTCTTTGTGTTGTTTTGCAAACAAAGAATATAGGTCAAATTTTGGTTCTACAGTTCTAGTTTTGAGGGTGGTCTGTTTTAATAGCAAAGTAATAGACATATTTGTGTTCATTTTAAAGTTAATATATTTAGTGTTCTAAATATATGATGCATGAGCTTTATATGTTTATTTTGCAGGAGCAGCTGGTCATGGTGGAATTATCTGGAATTATTGATTCAGACTTCCTAGAAAAATGTGAAAACAAATGCAAGATTTTGGTGAGTTTGACTACAACATATCAGCAAAGAGGCAAGTTTTTATTTTTGTGAACTAGGGGAAATTTTAGGGCCTCATTGAACTCAATGGGCTTTGGATCAAACCCTTAGTGCAGAAATATGCAGACTATATGGGCGATAAACTGTCCATGGTCTGTGCACAGAGCAATTAGCATCAGTGGACAATGTGAATGAATATCAAAAGTTCCCTTTGGCCTGTGAATATACCCTTATGCAAAACTTAGGGTAAAACTTTCAAAAACACCCAAGTGACTTAAGAGTCTAAATCAGAGGTGACTAAGGCTTGTAAGTCACTTATGCCCAGACCCAGAAAGGGATGTAGAGGTTGAACTCCTAACTTTTGCATGCGTAGTGGAATCCACAAATCCACAAAGTACGGGTTAGGTACTTAGGTTCCCTATAAAATGCATGGAGGGAGAGATGCCTAAGAATGGGATCCACAAAAACCAGCACACTTGGTGTGGAGTTGCCTAAACTAGCTAGTGTGAGATGCTCAGGAAAGGGGCGTTTCTTATGTCCTGCGCCCTTATTGAGTTAGTTGCTTAAGTCCAAGCTACAGGGAGGTGCCTACATCTGTTTGTGATCCATACCCAGGAGCTCTGCTCCTAGAGTCAGACAGCTTAGGCACCTAAGCAATTTCTTGCAAGAAACAGAGGATGAGGATGAAGTGTTGCCGGTGGCAGTACCCTTCTTATAACTTTTAGCCCAGTGGTTAGAGCACTCACCCAGGTTCCATTATGCCCTTTGCCTGCGGGGGAGTAATGATTTGAACAGTGGTCTCCAACCGCTGAATGCCCTCCCACCTCTGAGTGCCCTAACTGCTGGGCTATGGAATATTCTGATGTTGATCTCCTTCAGTCTTTCCTGGTATAGCTGTTCCATTTAGCTAAATACTTAAATAGTCATTGGGCAAGAGACAGACAGTGAGAATGACTCTGGCATGGTGATTACTCACCTGGGAGTGGGGATACCCAGGGTCTAGTCCCCCTCTTCAATGGGTAATTGTTTATCCAAAATACAACAGCTTCAACAGGAGAGATTGAGGGAAACCAACATCAGAATATCTCTTAGCCTGCTGATTAGAGCACTCTCTCCTGAAAGGATTTGAACAGAAGGTCTCCCCTGTGGAAGATGGGGAGTGGAATCTGAGTCCCACTACCATCTTTTTCAGACTGATTTTGAACAGGCCCCGATGCAGTAGGCGTGCTCTGAGCACCCCTACCAGATCAGGCCCCGCAGGCAAGATAGGCCAGGGAACCTCCATCCTCACCTGGTTTGAGGATCCCATTGGGGCTTAGGCATGAGATAGGTGTCCAGACTGCTAGAGTGAGGCATTGTGTGCATGCCCAGAGACAGAAACTTAGGCATCTAGAGAACTTTGACAGCAAAAATTTAGGTGCTGAGTGAGTTTGCATACATACAGGCTTAGGTGGCTGCCAAGCAGGGGCTTTGTGGATTGCAGTGTCACTTAAATCTGGGGCTTAGGCACTTAAGTCTCTTTGTGGATGTAGGCCGTAGGTGATTTTGAAAATTTTACCCTGATCCATGCAACTTTAATATGGGCAAGTACACTTCCTGACAATTTCTTGACAACAGCTTGCAAACAATGCCCATTTTTACCTTAATGACATCCTGTTTACTCTCTCAGCCCAAAATACTGCCCAGTGAGCCCTGATATACAGCATATGAAGAGCAGCTTAGTGTTAGGTTTTCAGCAGACATTTTTATCTCTTAAGGTTGTCTACGGTATTACAAAATTACTGTCAAAGGCAGAGAGGGTTACCTAGTCCTCACTCTTTTGCAATTGAGTAATTTTAATTGATTCCCCTATGTGAGACAAGGTGTCTTGCTTGTGGAAACTACTGATTGCCCCAGAGTCTTGTAAAGGATTAGTGTCTTCCATATATAAGGGGTTATGTAAAATGTGGACGTTTGGTAGACCCAAAGCTAGAAAGAGATGAAAAATGCCTTTGAACATGCCACTGATAACCAAAATAAATGAGTCAATAAAATTAGTTCCTAAATCTCAATTACAGCGACATCAGAGAAACTTAATACAAGTTCATACATACATTATGCATCATTCCTGTTCTCCTGAGTACATTTTGTTCTTGGGTCTGACCCAGCTTATTTGAAATATGGTACACAGATGGCTGACTGGGCAAGTTACTGGTGACCTTGCCCAAAGGTAATATCATAGTATTGCATATTTTGAACGGTATCAATGTGATTTGCTTTAAATTGTATTCCTTGCGATCGTATTGTACTCTTACTAGAAAACTTTTCTATATTTACAGAACACCACCACTTTCTCACTCCAAGCCACTTTTCTCCTTTCCCACAATAAGGCCAGGGCAGGCTGCATAAGGAAGAGCAGACACTCCCAAACTGGTGGTTAACACTGAAGTTAAACTCACCAACCAGGCACAAACTGTGCTTCTGATCCCCCACACTGGTTATTGAGAAGCTAAAAAAAAAATAAAGAAATCGCACAGCTCCCTTTATTGCATTCCAGTTCTCTGGTTCCCAATCGGCACCTAGGTCCAGTACAGTGAAAAGTTATTTAAAAACTCTGCTCACTATACAAAATGTTCTTCTGACCCCAAAGGGTCAGCCACATCACCAGGTCAATATTACTTTGGATCTTATGTAAAATACCATGCTGACAGTCAATCCTTTAGAGCAGGCCTGCACAACATGCGGCACGCGGGCCGCATGCAGCCTGCGTGGGCCCACTGTGCGGCCCGCGGGCAAGCGGTGGGGGGCGGTTTCCGGGTTCACCTCCTGCCCGGGGGGCACGACTTCACAGCCCCGCGCGCCGCGCTCTAACCGCCCTGACAGTCAGAAGCGCGGCTGCCGGGGCTGAGGTCGACACC